AGAAGCCCAGAGCCTCTAGCCCCCCATAAGTAGATAGAATATGGGGTATGTCGGGATGTTATTATAATCTACCCAAAGCTATATTCTATCTACTTTAGGGGGACTATACGCCTATATTCTCATCCTTGAATCCCTCTAAGGTCAAACAAGTAGTCAACTTCGAGAAAGGAGCTTCAACAGTAGTCTTTAGCCATGGGATGTCTGGGGGGTGTCCGTAAAAGATTTTTGCATCGGGGCTGGCATCAAGCCCTTCCGCGCTTTCATTATTCGAGCATTAAAAACTGAAGCCCCTCGAATTCACCGTTGAGAGTACTTGTCAAAGTGTCTACCTAGAAGGGAAGCAGTACCAGGGTTCTGCTTCTGTGGTGGATGCAACATTGCCTGGGCCGCACACCGATGTTCAAGATGCTCAAACAACCTGCTTTGAGATACTTGGAGGTGAAACTTCCGCCGTTTTTTTCGTGGTGCCCTGCCGGAAGCTCAAGGACTTGAAAAAAGTCTGGGCAGTGGAAGGCTGGAATAGTGCCAAGATCTAGGATGGCGATAAGAATGTGTGTAGTTCCCCAAATTAGGGCCCCATTGTGGTACCTCTTAAAATTAGGTGGCTTAATATAATCTATAACCAGAAGAGGTCCATAACTTTGAGAATGCCAGTGTAGAGGCAAGGCAGAAAACCTTGGTTCAAGGCGGCGCGGTTTGGGTTTTAGGTTAGGCGGACCCCCCACCCAGTAATAGTGGCTATTGTAAGGGATAATGAGGATTGTATTAGGGTCCTATTATACCACCATTACGGGTGGTGGGTCCTCTTAAGATGTAAGCCCGGCCCTAAACCCTAATCCCTAAACCCTATGTACCCCTGCATAACCCCCCTGAAGGTACCCCTAATCATACTACTATTACATGGTGGGGGGTCCTCCTAAGGTATCCAGTTTAATTTGAATCATAGCCAGCGGCAGTCTGCCCTGTCTTGTCTTCTTTGGCTACTACAGGGGCTCGCTGAATTCATTCCCAATTCTAAGCTGGGTAGGACACAACTCAAGTTGGAACCAGGGTAGAACCTATATCCCATCTAGTTTCTCTTATGAAGAACATCGTATTTTCGTAAAATGCTTGGCTGGTGTTTGAGTGGCATCATCCGAATCAGGCCAGCATGTCACGTATGCATGCGTTGAAAAAGCGCGAATACAAAAAAAAACACTGGTAGACCCTAGCACGAGCCACCTTGCTGACTCGTTTTGCTGAGGCTGTTTTCCGCTACGACGGAATGAATCCCTACAGTAATCCCCTCGCCCTTACATTAAACCATTCCGCCAGTATTAAGTATTCCCAATACATGGTAAGATACCACAATGGGTGTATGCAATGTTAGGGGGGTGGGGGGGTTTAGCATTAGGGGAGGGATTAGTTCCTACACCTTTTCAGTCAGTCCATACACCATGACACCTGCCTTACACCTTGCACAAAAGAGACATGGTTTACTGCTCTTTTCAGGAAACAGTATAATTTACCATAGACCCACATTATGGCAAGCTAATTTAGAATCCTTAACAGCAACCCAGTCTAGGGTTTAGTATTCTGATGGTTGCTGGGGGGGGGGTGTGATTTTCCATACAAGCATTGTGCATATATATATATGTGTGTGTGTGTGTATACATGTCTATGTACACATATTACCCATGTATCTACCAATACACATGAAGCCTCAGTTCCGGGACACTGGCCCAACACTAACTCCTAAACTCTATAGATACCCCAACATTTGTTCCCCGCATGTTCTCGTCCAAGCCCAAAGCCCACCTCCAAATTCAGGCCAGGGCCAGTTACTGTACGGAGTCAGCTGTCATCGGCGAGCCATAGACCAAGCTTTTGCAGTCCTTGGCGTTTGCAAGGACTAGGAAGTTTTTGGCTTGGGGAGACTAAGTAGCTAACTGATGGTTAGCATGGAGTAAGGGAATGCGATCCTTTTTAATTGATATATTCTCTTGCTCCCTACTAACCCCCAGTAAGGTACGCTGAGCATTTTCCAGGGCAACGTGTGGGCTCCAAATGAGGGGACTGTGAGCGTGGAGTTGCCAGCCGAATCAACGCGGGAGATATGTTCAGGATCATCACAGGTGGGGGTACCAGACTGGGGATCCCCAGAATAAGGATTGTGGTATTTTGGATTCTATCTTGGGTGGACACTACCATGTTCAGGATCTGAGGATGTGGGAATTCCCAATTTCTAAATTCTAGGTTTGATCTACTAAGGGGGCTACACCCATGGATGGCTGGCTTGGACTTGGGGTTCTGTGCAGTAGGCGCCCTGCCATCTTATCCGCATGTTGTCACCCAAAGACCCACGAGTCCAACAAGTGGAAACCCCAAACTCTAAATCCCCCAAACCTACTAGTAATAGTAATAGTAACAGTAATAGTAACAGTAACAGTAATAGTAACAGTAACAGTAATAGTAATAGTAATAATAGTAGCAGTAATAGTAATGATAATAGTAATAGTCTCATCAGCCTTTCACCAACCCAACCTGACAGGCCTTGAACTTGCAATGCAAGACATGACATTCGACAGGAGGGGGAACTTAAAACTAGCCGAGCCATGTAGTGAACCCTCTTCCGGAATATATCCGGTAGAATATCCTGCAAGTTCTTCACATGGCCATTGCAGACAGGGAAGTTTCCAGTGAGTTTGCAGACTGAAGCGCCTGAACAACTAGAATAGAGTGTTGAGGGACATGAGAGAGGTGAACATATTATCTTCATATGCAATCAAGCATTATAAAGGAATGGTACTCAAATTATGTAACATTGGCAAGTATGCATTCATGCTTTTGCATCGAAGCCCTGACAGGTCGAAGCCTCTGAGCTGCTCCATCGTGACGCGAGCGTATCCAACTTACCTGACATTTTCCAACGATGGGGGGTTTTTAATGTGCTCATACACGTGCATGCGGACATGCGGGTGCATGATGATACATGTGTGGTATAGGTTTGCTCAAATGTGAGATCTCCTTTTGGGAATTCTTAAAATCGGGATTATGCTATTTGGTGGTACGTAAGGGGACCCTTTGGGACATTTCTCATGATGAGGTTGCAAGATTGCACTGCGCAGGCACAGAAGGCAGCATTCCCTAGTCAACTACCGCAACGGTCATTAGCATGCATTGTGACAAGAGCGCGTAAACAGTCCTGGACCCCACAAACCTTGACCACTGGTAATATAGTAACAGTATTGGTATGAGGACAAGTACCAGTACTGTCATGAGTAAGTCCCCAAATCTTCCAGTTGGCTAATAGCACGAGAATATGTAATCAGATATGATCTTTGGATTTTCAAGACTCGCCTGTCAGACCTACACCTACATCCGCTTGATGTCAGTTTAATTCCAGCGGTGCAGACCCATTGACTGAGGTGTCACGCAGCTCTGTACAGAAAGCTGCTTGGCTTTGTAAGCTCATCAAGTTTTAGAGAGCTTGCTTAACTTCGTCTCAACTGGGGGCTGATAGGATATGCATAAACCTGCATTGCGTAAGTGCTTGAACGCTGGTATCGCTCTGAAAGTGCTGGCGTAGGGTGCAACATGGTGCAACTATTTTTGGGAGTGTTTTTCAGGTGGTATCTTTGTGAAAGTCTGAGCTTGGAGACAACAGGCTGTGTGCGTGCTGCTTCGATGCCCGTTCTTCGGCCTTGCGCAGCAGCGTTTAAGTCCTGTGACGCAGGCCGCTTGCAGCGTGTGCCACTGTGGATGGAGGAAATCTTGCATGACTTCAGACCCTCAAGGTACAGTAATTATCGGTAGTGTGCAGGTACAGCTATAAGAGTGCTTTCGATTCCTTGCGGGGGATTCGATGACGTTTCTGGGACTACGCAGGAACATGCGTCACAAGATTTCTTGTATAGTGCATGTCAGGATTGACAATAGGAGCTTGATCCCTGCTGCTCATGCTTGTCGGTGGTAACTGCATGATTTCACGCCGCATGAGGTTCGCAATATAGTTTGAAGGCTGGTCCTTGAACCGGAAGCATGCTGCAAAACTGAGCAGAATCCACGGGCAGAACGCGAGAATAGCGAGCTGCATTTGACGCAGGTCTTCTTTGAACAGCGTGATTTCCGTTGCACGGACCTGCTTCGCGATTTTGACAATCAGTGCCTCGCTGGACAAGTAAGCCTCACAACTTGCTGAAGAACCCTAAACCCCTAAATAGTACTTTCCATTTTCTGTTCCACTATCCCAATATGTCCCCTATGTAGCCCCTATATATCGAGTCAATTGCATTGTCAAGCTTTCTCAAGCCTTGAATCCAGGTTGGATGCTGTCCCCTTTGAAAAACTCCCGGACTCGCGGCAGCACATGCATGGCTTGGCTTCTGTTTGTGGCAGGGTATACCATCTGGTCCGTTGCTACTCCAACCCACTGCTAGCTTAAAAAGAATCATTTGCGGTTTGTTTAGGCAGTACAGCTTTTCCGGATTCAGTAGCAAGCGTTGGGGCGCATCACCAGACAGCGCACCATGACAACTTTCTCGCAGCACTGGATGTTGTTGTGGAGCTGCGCTACATCAGCTTGGATTGTTTCATTTTTGTCCTGGGCCGGCCGCTAGGCCCCGCATCCAAGGACACGGAACTGTTTTTTGGAATTAATCACTCGCAGCTCTTCCGTGGCTTGCGGCACAAGCTGCTCAGCGTGCTGAAAGCCGTTCTCCTGGAGGCAAAGGTCCTCGACCCGCCCTCAGTCCAGCTGTTTCTGTTACGCTGTTGGTAGGACCCGGTTTCACTTGAAATTGTGTTGGAGACGAAATCTAGATGGCTTCACGTAGTTAGCATTATAACAATTTGGAGGCTTATTCTGCACTTCAGATGCAGCCCTCACCTTTTCCACACGACGAGTCAAATCATGCCGCTACATCACTGTGGGACATCCCAGCCTAAGCCATCTCAGATGGTTTGTACATGATTTGTTGATGAGGCTTTTTCTTGACAGCTCTGGAACAGAGAACCTTCAGGTCATCTCAGAAAGTGCCGAGCAGTGCAGCCGAGCCGTGCTGGCCCTGCTGTCATTGTGGCTCGGTCGAACATACGATCAGCCTTTGCTTCCGGCTCGTTGTGGCAAAGTTTGAATTTGAGAAGTGGAATAGCCTTTGGGTTTTTCAATGTGTTCCCCGAGGACCTAGATTTTCCAAGGCCCGTAGGTGGCCCCACTCACCTGTTGCTTCCCTTCCAAAGTTGTTTCTAGAACTGCTCAAGGAAAAGGGTTCGCCTTGTTTTCAGGCTCTGCCCCCACCCCCCACGACAGTCACATAATGTCGAAGCCTAGATAATGACGAACGTTCGCCGTTTCTATCCAGAATGTCTACATTGAATCATGGTACACCAAGGCTCGAATCTTGGTCATGCTTTTCTCCCACCAAAACTGATCCTGACAGACCCATATCGGCTCCCCAAAGCGTTGTGGTGCCTACGGCTCACAGCAAGGGCTACCCGATGTATCCCGCAAAATTCTTGCTTGGATGCTCCATCAAGAATCATACGTAAGCTCTGCGAAGCCGTGAAGATCCCTTGCGCAAAGCTGTTGAAAACGCTGCGCCTTGTCTAAACCTGAACACCGAAACCAATTGACAAGACCACTAAACCCACAACAAGTGAATTCCCGAATCTTGGGTACCCACTCTGTAACAGTTGGATCGTATTGATAGTATAGTTACATATAGCCCTTACTATGACCCATTACAGGGCGGCGGCCGTACCCAACCCTAAACCCTAAACCCCTAAACCCCTAAACCCTAAACTCCTAAACCCTAAACCCCTAATCCCCCCAAACCCTTAAACCCGGAAAAGGCTGCCCGGTGGCCTCTGGCTCGGGTTCAACTCGGATGGCTCCACGGCTCGCTTACAAGGGTTGTTGTTCAGGGCCCTTAAGGTTTAGCGGTTTAGGGTTCAGGGTTTAGGGTTTAGGGTTTAGGGGGTAATATTGGGATAATGGAAAAGAGAATGGAAACTACTATAGCGGGGTTACATAGGGCTTAAGGGAATATAGGGGTAAGGCAATATATATATATACATATGAGCTATAGTCTAAACTCCTTAAAGGGGGTTATATAGGGGATTTTATAGGGACTACTATAGGGATCATTAAGGGGATACTAGGAGTTTAGACTATAGCTCATATGTGTGTATGTATGTATGTAGCAGGATTTAGGTTTAAGGTTTAGGAATCTCGGGGTAGTATATAGGTATAATGAAGGGAAACTACCATATTATCATAGGGTATCTTTTGGGGTTATAGTCGGGAATAAGGGAATGTATTGTACCAGGGTTTACATAGGAACTATTTTCGCTTTTTCCTTGCTCCCCCCAAGTAAGTTTAGGGTTTAGGTCGGCTTGCGGGAGCCCATCTGGGGAACCCTTAGTACAAGGAGCGTGGGTTACAGTTTCTGAGGATTGTGGTTTTGTGCTGGGATGAGGTGCAGCAAGAGTTGAAAGGAATCTGGAGAACGTTTGGTTTTACGAAATGTGCTGCTGCCCTTCGCTGCCCTTCTAAGGATTCTAAGGGACTGTAGCGAGAATAATTCGAGACTCTCGTGTCTTGTTCTTGCTGACAAAGCCCCAAATCCCGACACTTGCTGGTAGGGAGGCAGAGGGCCTATGTAATCTCAAGAAGACAGTAGTTTCCGTTTCCTTGTACATTCCCTCTTCATTCCCTCCTGACAACCACGAAGAAACTCCTGAAGCCCATGTCCCTACTGACTTCCTGTTGCCACTACGTTTTCCATTTGCCATTCCTTTTCGGCTACAGAGGCTTTGGAAGCCGGCACTTCCACTATCGGAAGCATGGTCTTCCCATCCAATGCTTTGGTCCCCGATGTTGCGCCGTGTCCTCGGACAGGTACAGGGTCGATATGGGCCCTGTTTAGGCTCACTGCTAAGAAGAAATGACGCTCAATTTTGGCGGTTGGCTTCAATATAGGTGTTTCCAAAAGCACCTGTCCATTTAGAAATCCGGGCGGTTCGGGGTTTTATGAAAGCCCGCTGGCATTACGTACGGCTCCACGGGCCGATCCATCCACTTGATTGCCCACAGTGCCATAGGGGCTTGTAAAGGCATTGAGGCCTGCAGCACACAGACTCAGCTTTACAATCACAATGTTCTGAGAGTCCTCCGAAGCACCTTTGCCCTAGTCAGTTTGGATGAGCAGTGCTGAAAGGTTTCAGCCAAGGACCTCAAGGATGTAAAGTTTCAAGGCGGGCAGGGTTGAAAGATTTGTGCTTTGATGCCGAGGACCAGGTGAGCGCAAAATACAGCAAGGGCGTCACAGAGTCATAGCATCAGGGTGAGGGCGGCGGGCAGATGAGGGGTCCTCGTAGGGTCTCCGGCATCACTCCAGAGCATGCCGGCCCAGACGCCAAGGTCTTTCCCTACCTGGGCCTGCACATGCTGGACAGTTTGCTCCAGATGCGCGGGTTCCTCATCGGAACCACAAATCGGATATTCGTCGAACGTACGAATCCGGACGTCATCCTTGAGGCGGCAAATGTGTCTTAGCAGTTGCATGTTGTAAATGGGACTTCCTATTTGGCTTCGGGTTATCGGACTCAGTGTCCTGCGATTCATGAAGTCTTCCAGACAGAAAGAAACCGTGCCTTGCAGGGCCGAACCGCTGAAATATTATCGCTACTGTTCCGATGACGATACTACCCCCCCCCAGATCTTGTTTTGCGCTTTGGTTTACGGAAGGGGTCGTCGCAATAATAAACGAGTGATGCCCGGCGGATTCCTCCTCGGATTTGCAGATAGTAAAGGCTGAGGCTGGTAGCTTCAAGGCCTTGGGGCTTCTATTGAGTTGCTAAGCTTGGTTTTAAACTTGCTTTTTAAAGCAGAACAGGCCTTCTTGAAAAACAGACCTGCTGCTGTTATTGCCACCCCTGTTCAAAATTGTCATGGGAGGACGCTGGTAGGGGGTTGCCCTTGGAGGCTTCTTGGAAATGATTTACGAATAAGCGTGGTAATAACAAGCCCTTAGTTTCTGATGCCTGGGGATTATTGAGGTTTCCAGATAGTAAAGGCTGAGTCTGGTAGCTTGAAGGCCTTGGCGTCTTATGAGATTCCAAGCTCGCCTTTTGAAGAAGAAAGGGCTTCATTGAAAATAAGACTTGCTGCGTGAATCTGAATGCCAACAAGCTCCAAAGCTTCAGCTGTGCTGCGCTGAGCCCGTCCTGCAAGCACCCAAATCTACATACCACTTCATGTCTAAAACGTGCGGGCGGACACAATTGCTAGTATCCCTTATGATTGCCGATGGAGCTTGTTTGCACCTTTTGGGGCTCAGAGCTTCTTACAAAGCAAATTCAGTTTTGCGGGATTTTCCGGCTCTGCAAGAATATCTTATTGTCACCCCCCTTTAAGAATGCTGTTGAAACGTTATAACCCTTATATAATTTCTACATCTCTACTGTCACCCCTGTTCTGTCCGCAGCTTACCCACGTAGAGGTGCCGGCCACAGCTGCCAGCACCGACTTCAGCGTCGAATTCCTTTGTAAAGACGTGAAGGAGATAACCAGGCACTGCGAAGCTTCGTGTTGCCATATAGAACATGAGCCCACGATGATAGTGATTCGGATGGTGATAGATTCAATTCTTATATGGTTTCGAGCAGCAGTTGGAGAGCACCCAATTCGGATGCGTACTGCAGAAGCCTCACTCGCAGGTGCACCGGTGCCGAGAAGGACAGCTCATTCATTATGCAGGGGCTCCCCAAATAGCTGGATCTATGTGAAAGCCAGTGGCCCCCTTTGAATTTTGAGAAAGCCGTAAATTTCGGCCAGTCTTTGGAGAGTCTCACTTCAAGCCTGGCCGAAGCCTGCGATCCCCGAGCTCCGCAGGTGTACAGTGCCCCAGGCAAAGATACACTGAAGCTTCAGAAGCCTTCTGGATAATGTGTTTGTACATGTCCCACTGATCTTCCCTCTTTGAAACAAGATCTCAGCCACCCCAGTGCTGTACTTTTGGGAGCAGGATTGGCTGCAGAGCGCTTGCGCCACGCTTGACACCGCAGCACCGCGGGAGTTGTGGCAGCTGAGAACAATGCAGCAATGTTTCATCTGATGCTTTTCTTACAGGGGGTTAATAGGGCATAAGGGAAGATATTCTATGCGGATTATATTCCCTATCCCTGCTAATCGCTAGCAAGAAAAGTGAGGTCTTATCCTTTCATCCCTAAGCGTCCCAAGAGCCAAAGTGCCTTTCCAGAATCTTGGTCAAGCTCTATAAGATCAGGAGGTGTCATAGTGTTTGGACTTCCTAGCTCGGTGGCTGTGGCATATGGCTTGAAGCAAGCTAATCCCCAAGCTCCCTGTTTGAAGGCTCAATCTCTAAAACCTGAATTCCTTGCCTTGAAGCCTTGCACTGGGGATGCTGTCTCCCGAAACATTAAACAAAAAAACAAAGGTACTAAGGAAAGATAGACTGGAAAACATATTCTTGGAGGCAGCCGCCTGCCGCAAAGGTGGTGGAGGAGCCCCAGGACCACGTAGTCACAACTTGAAGCAGGGATGTTATCATCCCCGATGTAGATCAATTTATAGAGGAAGGTCATTTCTTCTCTTGGGTGCTGTAATGTGAGAAACCATTGCAGATTTGTTCGCTGGTTCAAGCACCTAATTTTTTTTCACGTGCTAAGGAGGTGTGTGCGCTGGCAGGGCTTGCTAAGGAACATGTTTTTTTGGAGTTCCTAGCTTCGCAGCTCCAGCATTGTGGGCGGCACAGGTTTGATCGTTTTGTATGGAGCATATGTGCAGAATGTTCAGCCGTGGATACCACAATGTGGCAGGAGACATCGGAGGATGATGATGATGAGCTCGTGGCAGACCAGCCGTCAGGCAGCTACTCCTCCACTGCAGATGTGACTGGGGCATCCTCCTCAGCATCAGCGGGAGTCAGGCTTCATGTACGCGTCTGAGTGACTAGCACGTGGGGACATATGAGAACCCACTATGTGGGAATGTAGTGGGCAGGCCCGCAATTCACTAGTTGTTTCCATCCTTGTAAAGGAAGATGTTTGAAACAAGATTTGTATATGCTGGGACGGGACAGCGCATTTTATGCGGAGCATTTGCGGAAGTAAAGCAATACCAAACGAAAATGCACATGATAAAGATTGTTCAGCAATCCTGTGCTTGGCAAGCCCTTGCCCCTTCGCTACCCAGCCAAGTACTGAATGCCGGAAGCTAGCGGAAGTGCCGTGCAGACTTCACGTGCGCTTGTTGAAAGTTTTTTTTCGTTGTTCGGACGGAAGCACTACAGTAGCTATTTTTGCGCTGCGTCACGTAAGAAGAGATATGTTGCACCGGGAGTGTACATCGACCACTGCGCATTGTTGCTTCGTCGTGGCTGAAGGCCGCCATGTCGTCGTGTGATGCAGAGGCCAGTGGTGATGAACTGACGTTCAGTAGGTCCTACTAGCTGCGCTGAGCATAGAAGCAATTATGTGGTCTAGTGATGGTAGTGGCGGTGGTATTTCACTAGCATATGTGCCACTAGTGTTGCTTCTCCTCTACCTCCGCCTTCCTCTGCTAGGAGCTGGTTCAAGACGCAGAGGCCGAGCTGGTTGCATGTGTAGACCAGTTCCAGCTGAGCCCAAGTCCAACGGGTCTGTGCAAGACCTGTAGTTTCTTTGGTGCCTCCTTGACTACATGTATGCGGGGCTTAAATCTGTTTTCAGATGTCAGGCCTGCTGAGCCCATTTTGGAGAATGGGGGTGGTGTCTTTGTCTCGTTTGCCGAGCAGAACTTCAGATGAATGTCTCAAAGTCCAGATCAAAGGAAGAAAGCTGTGTCCCAAGCAGACAAGCATCTAGGACACTGAAGCCAGACATTCACTGCTGCTCTTACCCCTATATAACCCCAATATATAATATAGAGGTTTCCATTTTCTTTTCCATTATCCCTAGGAAACTCTTTGGCCCTATCACTACTGCTATAGTAGTCCAAGCCGCCTTGTGGCTCGCGCACTGCTGCAGGCTGTTGCCAACGCCGCTGTGCTGAAAACACAGCAGGAGATGGGGGGCTTGCATATATGCTGGCACAGTGCGCTGGAGCTTTCAGTGTTGTTGCTAATATTATCCGGGGCTGTTGTTGTATGCTGGTTATGATTACCCTAGCATGGGTGGTTTGCTGCCTTGCTCCTCCTTGTACTTCATTGTTGATGAACTTTGCTTGGATTGGTTATAACTCAAGCCTTGGTGTCCAGTATCTTCAGCATTTAGCGAGTACCATGGCCCCCATCATAATGAGAATCTCTTTACTTGGTAACGCATGACTCGGACGCTCACGGCTTGTGTGCCGCATGGTGATGGTGAGTACGGAGGAGCAGCTGCGGCAGGAGGCAGCGTGGGCCATGACCTTAGCCGTCTAAGGCTGCAAGTCACACGTTGGCCAGATGTGTCGTAGCTTAAGCTGCTTGGGAAACAATGTTGCTGTTGTATGACCATGGGAACTTCAATGAGGTTAAGGGCTTTCTTTGCAGCCAGCGCGGGGACCAGAGTCGTAGAAGTCACGACGTTTTTAGCATCGGACCTAGATAAGAATCACATCAAAAATATCCTGCGGGATAAGCTTCCGCTTCATTATGCCCCTTGCAAGTGCAACAGTGGTTCTGGGCGCACCACGGGGCCGCATTTGGAAAACTCCCTCTTCTGCAACAGGCTGCGATTGTGGATGCGGATCGCAACGCGTTCACTGGCTATTGGATACGTTTGCTGGCGGCCGCCGCCCAAGTTAGGATCCGTGGGGCAACATCACAATCCCACTTGCACATAGCAGCTTCCCTGCAACCCCTTGCTTGTAAGCTCTGGGCATAAAAGTCCCTGATCACTTCCTGAGTGCGGTAGCCAAGGCAACTGCGAAAATCGCGGGCGCCGAGCGCGACCTGTCTGCTGGACTGGAGGCAGGGTGAGTGACGAGCGGCCGTGGACTGCAGTAAGTGCTGAAGCGCGGGTCCATACATACCACCACCGAAGGATGTGAACATGGCGGACTCCGCTAGAAATCAACACAGGACCCCTGTTGCAGGCGGCTTCCAAGCAGCAGAAGTCCGAACTGAGTCGATTCGGCTTACCTTTTTTACATCGATGGGTCGCGCGCGGACCTCAGTTGGAATCCTTGTAAAACACTTGTCGGAAAAGGTGACAAGTAAAGAAGGCCTTGGCTGCAGGCCCAGGGGAGGCGTGTTGTTACTGGACAAAGTCGTCTGCATTGCGAGATTCAAGAAACCAAAGGCGGACTTCAGCCATGGAGGCCCGGCCTGAAGGACTCGGCTGCGGCATCTTCAGGTCTCCTGACATCCTGCTCCCCTGCATACAGTCTCTCCAAGCTTCCTAGGAAATTAGAGTCATCCCAGCTTCCCTTTGGGATAAGCATGTCAGTAGACATGGGGCTTTCACGGGCAAGCCTTGTTTCCAATGCCTACAAGGGTCTGGCTGAGGCGAACCCATGGTGGACAGTCGTGGCTGCAGGCTCGCCCTTAAGCTCCGGTAGGTAACCTTTAACTTACTACTTTATGGGGTGCTAGAACCTGCATGTGAGCTGTAGTCTAAAATCCTCAAAGGTGGTCATATGAGGATTATATAGGGGACTATCATAGGGGCTATTAAGGTGGATGCTAGGAGTTTAGACCATATCTAAACTTGAGCCTTCATTCCAGCAGGATGCTGGTGTCGTGGGCATATGGGCTTAGACTGTTTGTTGACCCCTGGAGCGCATGGCAGTCTCCCAAACTATGGATGCACACCAGCTCGAACGTCAGGATCATTGATAAGAAAAGACACCTCACACTGAACCGTCAAATTCTGCAAAAACACGGGCAAGAGAATTCAGATGTACTTCTTACAGAAGTCCTTTCTCACTGCAAGCCGGTGGGGACACATCAGGCAGGGCTGTATAATGAGAATCTCATCTGACCGTGCAGAGCTTCTGCCTTGATAGTTGTTCAATTCGTTGCAATGCCCTGTTAGTCCCGCTACATGGAGGTGAATTCACAGGTAACATGTGATTGTATGTAATAGAACAGAAGCTACAACCCAGGCTCCAGGCCTCACAAGGCAGGTATGGCTAGCTGTTCAAATACCCATTGTGGAACACACGCGCCCCGGAATGTTAGGTACTCACCTTTATACATATTGTACACACACATATGTATTCTAATATTATATATATATATACACATAAATGTCTGTATGTGCATTTGTCTTAGGAATTGCGCGGGGAAGGATTTACTAGATGGTGGTGGCGGTGTTTTGCAATAGTGGATAGGATGAGTTGCGTCAGGCACACAAGCTGCCTGTATTGGAGCGTCGGCCAAAGCCGCCACGCGAAGGCCACGGGATGTGCGCCCAGAGCAACTTATGCTGTTGCCGTCCGGCGGCCAGACTGGCTAGTCGCAGGCAATGTGCGTTTGCCTTGCATAATTAATTGGTGCTTAATCCCAGCTGGTTTGACGTTAGTTAGTTGTTGAGTTCGGGCAGTCCCTTGCATAGGTGTTGTACCGGGTTCACACAGCTTCCTTGCCAAGGCAAATGCTACTGAGATTGGTCTGCTTCTACCGGTTTACATTTGCCGTGGGTCTCCGCATACAACAGGTACCGCTTTGCAAACGGGGATGAATACCACGGCGAATTCCGCCGCGGGATGCGCGAAGGCTCAGGTGTCTACACCAGCAAGAGGCCAAAGCTGTGGTGTGTGAGATGCATGGTTGTTGCCACTGGCGTCCTTTTGGAGAAGGTCTCTACATGTATCCCCAGTATCTAGAGCAGCATGATATACGTTTTCAACCATTACCCCCATGCAGGCATGTGCTACGTCTCCGAGACAACCTCTTCGATAAACGATACGTGCTCAGCCCCATCCCCCAACTCTTGGACATCGTACCTCCCAACTCATTAACATGAAGGTTTATAATGGGAATATGTAGGCAGTCTTCACGATACGGGTGTGGGGGCTTCGTTAAGGGAAGGAGATTGATGATGAAAATGATGACCTGCCCCAGGGTAGGTCGGAAAGTGATTTCGCCATGAGCCACAATGAATTTCCTGGCGTAATCTCAGACTGCATAAAGATTCGCCGTGCCATGCAGAAGTGGGATTGCCTGCCAGCATCCCAATGCAGGTTGTATGTATAGTCATCTTGCTCCCCACCCCGCCTAGCGTTGATTACCCATGAGCTTGCAAGAATGGTGGGAAGGAACCACATGCAGTACGATGGGCAGTGGTTGCGGGATCGTCGCAATGGCAACGGGACCCTGACCATCGAAAGTGCCGGAAAGGCACTGCTCCGTCAGGGATTTCCGGCTAAGGGCTCCATAGAAGCGCGCACATAGCTGATGATTGTCATGCCATCCACAACTTCAGATTTAGCGCTCGACTGAGTATAGTCTTGTCGGACTGGTGCATGGCTTCGTTTTTTCCATGCGAGTTGCTGAGCAGAAGTTGGTTGAGATCCAGTTTTTCTGGGAGTGCTACGAGTGCGCGGTTTTGGCCAGCACCGTTGTTCTGCAGCCGTCGTTTTTTCCCTCAGAGCCGTTGGGTGAGAATTGCCTTTTCAAGTTGCGCCGGCCAGGTTAAAAGAGGTCCGAATGTAACAGCCCTGCTTGCACCAGGTCATGTACACCTACGATGGACAGTGGGTGGCAGAGTCTTGGCTTCTGTCCGTGAGATGCTATATCCCGGGCTGTCAAACAATCAGTGGATATGGGGGGGGGTTCCAAAAATTAGTCGTACCTGTCCGGGCGTCCCCATAAACTAATCAGGATTATAGTATATTGGGGTCCCGCTATCTCGCAAAGTACCAGATGAGGCAGAGCGAATGAGAAGTTTCAACCGCTGCTCGCGACTGCGACTGTTTTACAGCACGGTGCTTTTGTTCCATACTTACTGATGCTTTGTCACCAATTTCTGCTACCAGCTCCTCAGCACCGATCCCTGACCCTGCAAGCTCTAAACATCTCTAAACTAAACCACGTCAAACTAGACGGCCCAAAAATTAGCACAACCTAGGAACATGAAGGATCCTGGTATTCAGAGCTGACATGGAGCGGCCCTCCTTTCCAGCACGATTCAGAATTTCTCCTCCCATTAGGATGCACCTCGTAAGGACAAGCGACATGGTTCGGGAAGCTGCGTGCGCAACCACAAGGATTGCCATTCACGGGAATCTTCATGCATAATGTCTCCGACCAAGTCGACACCGCAAATCATTACTCGAATCTCTACTGCTCATGAGGGGGGTCGGGACGCACATCCCTTCAAGGAGCGTATACCCTCATGTCGCTTAGGCCTTCGTTAGGCCTTCGTGAACGTCAGGTTACCTTGGCCGAGTACCTAACCTAGTCGTTTTCTGTACTGACCTGCAAGCTTCCCAGCCCATAGGACAGGGCCGCATGAGCTATTATCTTAACTCCTGAATTTGGGGTTATATAGGGGACTATATAAGTTCCTATTTTTGGGCTTATTACGGGGGATACTAGGAGTTTAGACTATAGCTCACATGTCGCCCTCTGCATGACCATACTTTGGGAAAGACCCTTTCTGGCAGGAGAAGTATTCCGGACAGTGGGCGCAAAATCTCTACCATGGAGCCTGGCCCCCAGATCTCATAGTCGATAGTGTCTTCAGAATCTTCCGATATATTGGGGGCTATATATGGGAAATAGTGGAAAAGAAAATGGAAACTACTATAGTGTAGTTACTCAACGTGCCGGCCTCTGCTTTGTTTAGTTTCTCGCAGATGTCAGCCCTGAATGGGTGCATCAGCTTGCAAGGCAGGAACCTTCGTCGACGAGAAGGGCACCCTGCACCGATCTTGGTTTCGGCGCTGTGTTTTTATTTCGGCTGTTGTTTCTATATCGCGTATTCACAAGCAAAAGCTGCAACAAAAGATACGAAAAAGCATTGATTTCTCGCATGGACCGATAGAAGTCAGGTCCGTAACCTTGATGGGATACAAGCGACATCAAGGAAGCCAATACAAGCTCCTACCCCACTTTGACAGCAGCTAGCCCGGAACAACTCAACCGGACACCAGAGCACTTTCCTTCATTCGTCTCAACATTGCGCCTTAAGTATAAACTTGTCCATATGTGCTGCTAGGGGCATGTACAGGGTGAATGGTACTCGCAACCGCTTACTCAGGTACGAAGGCGAGTGGCGTGATGGCTGGCTTCTCAGATGTCGGTCGTTGGAGCGTCTCACATACAAAAGGTCTTATTCCTGTTTGCTATAAGGCTATGTAAGCTCTGGCCCGGGCACATCTTGCCTGATCCAGATAATTACATGTGGAGGAGCTTCAAACAGTAACCAGTCTACATTGACAGTGGGCCCGTTTGAGTTGCAGCGGTTAGTCACAGTGACTTCCAGCATGCTTTGCTTGCTTGGGATACCTCCATGCAACTGCAAATCCCCATGCTCAACTCTCTGTCCTATGCTCATACCATAAGGCCCCAAGTCTAACATGATGCCTACTCTGGGCCCCAAAGTCTATAGACCACTATTTGGAGCCCCCGAGATGCATCACGCAAGTGGGACTTGTGCGACTGCGTGGCCAAGGCAAGTTTCACGGCGTTGGAAAACACATCTGCCGGGGAGAGACTTACACAGGCTCTTTTGAAGCCGGGCCCTCTGGGACGACTCAGCACCTTCATCGAGTCTGTGCTCCAATTTCGACATCTCAATGCTTGCATATGAAGTGGTGCCCCTGCGGTATGGGTTTCTTCATGCCGCCTTTAGGCAGACCATTCACCAGGCAGAACCACGACACGCAACAGCAAAGGGGTGTTTCATGTTCACGAGGGATGGACGGCTAGACTGATTGGGACTCCACCGCCTGCTCCAGGATGGAGAGCGACACGGCATGGGACAGCTTGTTCGCGGGGCTGACGCAGTTGCCCAGGCTTGCGGGAGCACCCAAGATTGAGAAGATTATTACGGACACTGTGCTTTTGTTCTCCCTGCGCTCATTGTCTTGGATGGGCGTGTTCACTTGGGCGATTTTCATGATGTGGGGACATGCATTGAAGAGCAGCGAGCGTGGAGTTCCACGCGAAGGGGTGATTCAAATGCTTGCAAATTTTGTGGTTGTATCTACGTGAACGATGCCCCTAATTCGGATTGATTATGACTATGAATGTCACTGCATACAGTCACGATGTTTGAGGGCTCGTTATCTGCTCATCCAGCCTTTGGAGGACTTCCTTGGCGCAGAGAGTCTCTATGCGGGACAATGGCCCCAATCTTAGAGATGTGGCCTGTTAGGTTCTTCATAATGGAGATTGCAGTATGTTGAGGTCGCTTGTGCTTTTGGAAGGGACCTGGTGTTCGCACTGCAGTCAACACAGTCTCAAAGCATCGTGTGTTTATGTAGGTGATATAGTGCCAGTGGCGAAGCGTTCCTGATAAGAACACGGGCATGCAACATTACGTATTAGGTGACGTTGGCAACATGTGACCCTCCGGACAGAAACATGAGTTTGACCTTGGCCGGCTGAAGCATTGTTGTCAAGGCGTGCCGGACAGCGCCACGGGCAAGGCTTTTTGGCAAAGCTTTTTACACCCTAGACCCCGCCTTCAGCGAAAGAAGCTTAAGAATAACGATTGCTGTCGTTGCTGCCGCTGCCGCGACCGTCTCGCTTCAGTTGTTTACCATGCGGTTGGTGCCCTTTAAACACAGAATCTTGTGAGCTTGGAGCCTAGGGCTGAAGCTTTGGCCAGGCACAGCCATTTACACATGCGGCGAGTACGAAGGGGATTGGGTCAAGCTCCCAGTGCGCAGCGCAATTCTTATCATTGTTGTCATCCTGCATCTATAGTGGACAGACGCCTTGCCTTGTTAGGCCAGTGCGTTGAAGGATATGGCTTTCACGCAGCCCTTGCACATCCTTGCAAGGTGTGTTGCCTGTCTGCTTGCTCTGGCTGCACCCTGGATTTCAGAGGTCAACGGCAAGCGGCATGGACAAGCTGCCATGGCCTCAGCGCGAGTTTGGGGTTGAGGACTTGGGGGGTATGGCAGGCGTGGGGTTTCAGGTTTTGTCAAGTGACGGTTCAGGGTTCAAGGTCCAAAAAACAATCTCAACGCATAAGTTTGGCTTGAGTGTAGGCATACTTGGGTGCTGGGGCTGGCTTGGAGTTTCACAGGCAGTTGTGAATGCAGTCATACGAGTCATAAGTGCAATTCTAAGTAGGATGGCTGAAAGCTAGCCGTGGGCTTCTAGATCCTCAGGTTTAAGGAGGTCTGTGCAATACCCCTCCCAACCTGGCCTAGACATATCTGTTGAAGAAGCCCGAGTGCCCGACTCATGCTGATAATACAGCCTAGTCTTATATGAGCTATCGTCTAAACTCCTTAAAGGGGGTTATATTATAGGGCTGATTAAGAGGGATATAGGGGGATACTAGGACCTAGGAGTTTGGACTAGCTCATATAATCCCCCAGCAGCCCTCAGGTCCTTAGCGAGTCCCCGTGGAAGCTTCAGGTTCTGTCGTACCAGGGCTTCCAGCTGGAGGGCCCTTGGATAGATGACATGCCGGATGAGTCCTCCCGGCCCGGTTGTGCTTCGTGCTTTTGAATGGGATGTCTTGGGTCATTGCTACCTGAGATGTTTGTTGCCCGAGCGGATTTTCATCATGAATGATGAGAGACGTCAGGCTTTGCTGCAATCTCCCCACAATTACTCAGAGAAAGCTCTCAAAGTGTCCGACTGCAGCACTCGTTCCTCATACAAGTCGAAAGCAAAAGGTCTGAGGTGACACAAGCTAAGCCTGGATGCTCTTATGAAATTAGCTGGAAGCCCCTAATGTCAATGCTCTGCTAGTCTATGGCACCTCCATTCCTGCCCAGGTCTGGGACTCATATGGTCTTCTACCCAGATGGCGGCAAGTACACTGGCGACAGGCTCAGTGCCTGCTTTGTGGATCGAAGCCGCTGCTCTTGAAGTAGGCAAACATCGCAGAAGTGACACCTTCCACCCTGGAAGCGTGCTTAGCCTAAGGGTGCGGTAGTGCATCAACTCCAGTTGTCGATGCATGTTTTTGTTCAGCCCCCGCCCTCAACATATATTCCCGCCTTAGATGAACGTTTTCAAGTCTTGCATCTAATGGCTCTGGCGCCAAGGCAAGGTCCACTTGTTTCCAGCGAATGCCGTGGCCCGAGTTGAGCGTGTTGTGGGTATGTTGAGGTAGCAGGTCATTTTCTAGTAGTGCCAGCCACTCGTGGGATTCCGCAAGAGCTCCACAAGCCACACCAAAGACAGGGTTCCAAGTGAACTACTCAAGTCCTGCCCAGAAATAAGTGTAGTAGGCTAAGTGAATAAGATTCGTGCTAGAGTGGTCGGCGGGGTCCCTGAAATTTCTGGTAACACATGGTAACACAGAGGGAGCACGAGCATACAGATATGGCATGCGCTGAGATGTGCTTTCTGCGGTTGGGACTTAACTTCACTCTGCTTGAGTAGGACAGCGCGTCCCGGGAATCGGCAGAGTCCAGCGTGGCTGCTGCAGGAGGCGCCATCCCTGCAACTAGAGTCCGTACGGTAAAAGGGCCGAGAGCTTAAGGATTCAGGGTTTAGTGTTGAGCTCGGAAACATGCTCAGCCCGGTTTTAAAAAACGCGTTGAGTATGCCGGGCTTAGGCCTAATATTTTGGGTTGAAGATAGCTTAGCCCACCGCGGCCGACACTCCAGAGTTCGGATTTCTGCAGGTTGAGGTTGGATGGTGTCATTGGAGACTAGAAGTAGCTACTGCAATAGCTGTGAGGCTAATGACTTCTCTGTACCTGTCGGGGGGGGGGGGCACTGAACAAAAAAGCTTGTATTCTTGCAGGCGTTTGGCAACCGCAGCACTCTTGCTGTGCTTGTCATGTCTGTGCGCCCAAGTTGGTCGGAGAACCAACACGGCCAGGGAATCTGTCCAGATGACACTGATACATGATCCTACAAGGACCGTTAGAATCCTTCCTATACTTTTCCTTCATTTTTTCGGTCCTTGTCCGAGGCTCCATGTGGCTAAAAATCGTCGGGATATGTCTGAATGCAGCCTTGTATGCAAGTCATGGCTGCAGGTCTCGGGCGGTTGTCTACGCGCGGACGCCCAGCGAACGGGGCATCGTGTGTCCACGCCAATGAGGGAAGCTCCAGCATCAAGACAAATTTTGCAACGCTGTTTACCCATAGCGGGTCCCAACAACAATACCCACAAATTTGGGGCTTGGCGCAGACTCACTTATCGATGCCAAAGCTTAGCCCGAGCTTGCTTCATCTATGAGGCCTTGGAACATAGCGCCGGAAGGCCACGGCATCATGAAGGAACCGGATGGGCGGCTCTACGAAGGCTGCCTTATTGATGCTGGGTGGTTTTTAGGGGGCTTTCCCAAAATTCAGGATATTTGTTGTCTGGGTCTCTATCGTAAGGATTATAATATTTGGGGGTCTATATTGGGGTCACCCCATTTTGAGAAACTACCATAGGATTCATAGGCGGCAAGAAGCTAAGCCGGGTTATAAAGGACCCCTTGCGCGCTGCAGGATCTCCGGGCCTAACGCCTAGGCCCCTACGGCACAATTTTGAGGAGCAGACAGTATAGCTGAGGACAGCATGCTCGCTAAAGCTGTCACACCCCTTAAAGGGGTTATATAGGGGTTATTCGGATAATGGAAAATAGAATGGAAACTACCATTTAGGGCTTTGGGGTTTAGGGTGGTCCTTTTGCCACGGTAGAGGAGGACATGAAACCGCCAATTGTCCCGATGTAGTTCATGAGACTTCACTGCGCGACCAGGCCACTTCCACTTTGGAGCTCCTCACGGCCGTGGATATGCTCTTAGCCTGGGATCCAAATACGAAGGCCGGTTCGCTTTGCTGTGTTGTATGTCACAATAACATGGGCACTTAAATGCGTATTGGGGGGTTGTCCAAAAAACCCTGGGGGAAGTTTTCATGTGAAACGACCACGGCTGGATTAGAAGCCCTTCTGCGAAAGGTCGCGATGGTGTTGCCGAAAGGAACTTTGGATTTCGCGAAAGAAGCATCGTAAGCTCTAGTTCCTTGCGTGCGGTCAATTGCATTTCGCTTCCTGCAGTCCGATCGCAGGGAGGTTCCCAATATCTGCCAGCAGTTTTGCGCGAAGCTTTTACGAAATCCGCCTGATATTGCAGGTATTCCCTGCCTCTAGACAATCCATGTCTGGGCACTCTTGGGACAGCCTCGAAGCGAACAGGCATGCTCAAAGGTGAAAGGGTTGCAAGTCTTTCTGTGGCATGCGCTCAGTCACAGGATTCTGAATTCTTGCCCGCAAATCCGCGAAGGATCCGCGAAAGGTCGCATAAGCCGAGCAAGCCCCCGGACTTGCAATCCCGCTAGTTCTTCAAGTGACCCTCCTATGCTTGTGCAGTGTGCAGCTTTTCCATCTTGCGAAGCTCATCCAGCTGTCCATATAGGCACCGGCCGCCTGCTGATTCCACTTGACCTTCCCAATTGTCTTTTTGGTCGATCGAATTCCGTTTGGGAGTTAAGGGTTTGTGTGAGTTCTAACCCCACTTCACCTTCCCAGTATGCGTTGTGGTCTTACAAATTCCGTTTTGGAGTCGAGGGCCGGGCATGTTCGAACATGCTTCCGCGAAACCTTGCAAGGTTGACTCAGCTAAAGCTCCTCGACAGCAACCCACTTTATGATTGCCATAGGGGTGTTGCCTTGCGGCACGCTTCAACAGCCTGAAGATGGATAGGGTTTGGGGTTTAGAGTTTAGGGTTTAGGGTTGGATAAGGCCAGGCCATGCATAGACTATTTGGGGATATCTGGGGCATATGGGTATGGGGTTGCAAGTGGATCAAGTGACCCGTGGCTATGTTTCATAAAATCCTCACATTGTATTATTATATGAGCCATTGCCTAAACTCCTAGTATCTCCCTCAATAACCCTGTAGTAGTCCCCTATATAATCCCTTGTATAACCCCCTTTAAGGAGTTTAGACTACAGCTCATATAGACCGCAAAACGAGAACCCTAAACCCTAAACCCATCTTGGATGAACCGAAGTCCTGCAGAGGTGAATTTGCCTGCGGCGAGCGGCATGGATCTGGATGGTGTCTGGCACAGCACAGTTTGGGATGTACCAAATGCAGGGGAACCAGAGGCTACCTTTAACTCCTACATATAATATGTTGTAGTATAGCAGCTTCCATTTAATTTTCCATTCTCCCAATATACCCCAATATATACCTTATTGTAATATAATAGTTTCTATCCTGTTCAAGTACTTCAGCAGAAGCTAGCATAGCCCCTGAAGACGGCCAACTTGGGGTTGAGATGTGAGGCTGCAAAGTGCTCCTGACCAGCGTGAGCCTACGAAGCGGGCTCAGGAACTCGTTCACTGGCTTTGGGGGGGGGGTTGGGTTGTAGGTGTTGGTGGATGCTTGTAGCCAGCCAGCTCTTGAATGGGATGGATTGCATCTTCCAGCATTGTCCGGCTGTTTCTTGCTTGTTCATTTCTTCGCCCCAACGCCTGAGTGTATCCGAAGAGTACGCCCACCAAAAAGAGTTTGCTGAGCTCACGCTTGCACGTCCGTAGATGATGGCCTGTTGTGGACTTGCACCTGTACCTCCCTGAGCCCTCGAAAGATGTTCATTTCTTTGCTTTGCGCCAAAATTAGGCCAGTGCACTACGAACGCGGAGAGCATGGAGCTTGGACAGACAGTACTGTTTTGCCTGGAATTTACTGTTTAGATGGTGCACTGGAAAGCCTTGCTGACCAAGTTGGAGCCCAGCTGAAATGCTGGCCTTGGTGGTCTTGGTTTATGAGGATTATAGTCTCGTGGGCACTACGACCTATAGCCTAAATGGATAAAGGGGATTATATGGGGAGGATTATAGGGCTTATAAAGGGGAATACTAGGAGTTCAGACAATGGGTCATATAGCATGGCAGCATGTGCTTTTTTGTAAATGCCCGAGTTGGCTCTAAACGCGCGCAACGGGACGACATGCTATCAAAGACTGCCAAGTGCTGTGGGCTCGCCTGCGTCTGAGGTTGACTCCCCAGCCATCTGGGCAGGCGCGTCCTTCACTGCACTGATTGACAGCGTTTTGACTGTCGGCCTAGGGTGCGCCAGTTCAAAGAAGCGACGAGGTTCAGGACCCACAATTTAAGCCACTGACAGAAAGCAGGAACCCAAATACTGATCCTGAACTTGCCAGCGTTTTGCTGCAGGCTTTTCTGCCTGCAAAGAGTTCTTCCGGCCTCCCGGAAGATGAAGGACCCATACGGGGCCCTGGGTGGGGGCAGAAAAATACAGCGGTTTTGGTGTTCAGCAAATGTAAAAACCGGACCGGTTGCTAGGTTTTGGTTGTTCTTAGTCTTTGGCAGGCTTGAAACAGAATCGACCGCAGTTCTGACGCCTCTTCATAGGGTAAGCTTTGAGATGTGCAGTTTCATAGGAAAGTAGGCCAGTTCTTGCTATTACCTCAGTTAGGGTACATCGCACAGGAACCTTCGGACCTTCAGGCGGAGACCATTTCGCGCAGAATAGCTGTTGCGGCTTCAGGAGGGTTCAAGCTTGAAGATGAAGCCGACACGAGGGAATGATGGATATTTCCTAAGTTAGTGGTATTTCCGCAAACCCTCCAGTATTTGTGAACCCGACTATCTGCATCCCAAAGAGCTACCCAAAATTGAGAAACTTCCAGATGCGGCCCCAGGACCTGATGCAAATCCGGAAATCCCTGCACAGACGCAGACGGCAGAGTCAGAGTCAGAAATTGTGGATCCAGGGATACGCTGCATGCGCGACTGAACTGTGACGTGAACCCCAAGACAGGGCATGTCTGTAACCAATCCATTTTTGGAGGAATACCGCGACACAACTAGAACCTCGACCACAAGGTTGAATTGGTTTCAGGAATCGCACCGTGCAGGATGCGGGAAGGCACTTCTGACTAGCCCTTGTTCTCTAAAGAAGAATCTGGCACGGCCACTATTTAGCGACCTCAATTGTGGCAACCCGCCTCATTGCGTTGGACTCGTTCTGGATGAAGATGCATGAGACAGGGCAGCAGCAACTATTCAGGGCAAAGGTTGGCAGAGGAGGCGCTTGTGACATTCAGCGTAGGGTTTAGGGCTTACGGTTAAGTATGAAGAATGTGAGAAAAACAAGAAGCACAGGTATGTCATTCCTTGCATGCAGACTATGTACGGGGTCCCCGCACGCGGTTAGTCATGGGTGAGTCACATGACCATGGTATAATTTGTTGCGCGTCTACGGTGTCTACAAGGGCTTCGCCTTTGTTTTGCTGCCACATCTGTTTCCGTAATAAGATGAGCTGACCTGTAAGTCCGAGCATAGTTTCCTGAGAGGAGGCTAGAGGCTTGTAGGTTTACATCAAACTGTTTGGAGGCTACACTTAGCTGAAGATGAGGCTGCCTCGGGAGTATAATAGGGCTTCAGAAGGACCACTGCGGAGTACACCGGACGCCGGAACGTTCATGGTATTGGGTAGGTAGGAGCTCAGGGGCTGGCAGCATGCGCATTCAAATTGGGAGCATATATCGCTAGTACATAGGCGTTTATTGGAATATGGAGGGTCATGTGGGGCCTGGAATCTGGAAATTTAAGCCAGAGCGTCAGCCACCTGCCTTAGCTAAAGGTATTGAATCCCTGCTTGATCCATGGCTACATCTGAAGCTGTTCAGTTATCTCAATGCCGAAGAGGCCACGCTGCAATCCTATTCAGCAAGCCACACCCTACCAGCCCCATTAAAAGAAGGAACTACTAGCACGGGAGCCATGGATGCCATGCCCAAGATTGCACATCCCGGTCAGGGCCTCAGCAGGCAAAAGATTTGACATACCGATTCCCCTATCCACTTGTCGAACAGGGCCTCACGTGCTTTTCTATTGGTAATCTGATCTTTATGCGGGTTTGTGGCAGTCAGCGCTGGGCAACTGCACTTGCTGAGCTGGGATTTGAAGGCAGAAGGGTATCTCAGGGTCTTCAAGGCTCTCGAGGCCTTTTAACTTTTCAGGAGTTGCTCATTTCACAGCATCTGAGTCTTTTCACGGTAAAGTATATCGCATCATCAGCCTGATGCTATCCAGAAGTTTACGCTTTCACAGCTGTGGTGGCAGAATTGGAAATCCTGAAAGTTTCTCGATCAGTAGAACTCTGGACAAGGACCCCATTGCTGTTGGGGACCCACACATGCCCACGACCCCAGCGCCTGAAACCGCCATTGCTTCGAAGGCTCAGCCCATAAGTTCTATTCCCCCGTGCCTATCCACCTTGAATAGCAGAGGTGGTTCCATGTCCTCGACGCCATGCGAGGATCGCACCGCATCCTGCGCTGGCGGCAATGAGGTCTCGCAGGTGCAGGCAGCAAGCCTTCTACCAAAAGTATGGCAGATGTTCCAGATTGGATTGTTCATCTGGAGCTGGCTGAAGTGCTGGTGGGATCTCATCTACAACCTGTTCATGCTTTCCCGTGGGTATGACATCATCTGCGCTGCATCAGCACTCGTTCAGCTTGTTGGACTGGTTATGACCAACGTCCTCGGATGTGTCAGCCTACGGAAAGACAGCCTCCAAATGGCACTAGTAGCTGCCATGGACCTTGATACACCGGTGCTTACCGCCAAGCATGCACAACAAGTTGTGGAAGGCGAGCACGTGCAAGCATATGAAGACCTCCGGTTGCGATCCTCAGTTTGGCGCAGCCTGCCCTTGGCAATGCTCATGGTGTTCGTGGCCTTCCGCACATGGGTGGAATTGCCCGCCTGCCAACTCATGGCGATCGTTCCGGTTTTCATGACGACTCTCCGTCCAGATTTGGCCAAGCACTCACTTTTCATACGAGGTTGGGTCAAATCCGACATTGAGCCGTCTCGGCTGTATATGGCTAACACTATTCGGAATGGATTTGGGGATTTGTCCATTCCTCCCCGAATTGACGACACCACGGAGAGGTCGTTCTTGTATGCGGACCATTGGATGTGGAACAGAGCCGCGCATTGCGGCCAGTCTGAGTGGAAGCCTGTGTTGAAGGAACTGAACCAGGAAGAGTTTGGGACATGGTTTCGGGGCGGTCCAATCCTCTTGGATGACCAGTACACTGGCGGATTCGGCAATGGCAACGTGTACATGATGCAGGTCGTCTTTTGGCGTCATGTAGTCTCAAACCTGTATGCTGCAGAGGATCGGCTAGGATCGCTGGCCCAAGGAGCCTTCAATCACGAAGCTGAAGCTTACGCTGGCAGGTTGGCTGGCACTGCGGCCTCAGCGACAGGTGTCATATCTTGGAAGTCGCAGGTGGATTTTCTGGGCAAGTTGATCGGGATGTCTGAGCCTCCAACTTCTGCACAGCACGTCCGATCTATTTCACAGACGAGACCCTGGAAGTTGGACTTGCTTGGAATTAGTCTTCAAGACGGAGCAATCATGCAGTTGGCACAAGCTTTAGTTCTACTGCTGGTCGCAACGCTGCCCATAGCAAAAGCGATCCTGCGAAAATGGCCTGTATCCAACTGGCTTGACGCTGGACTGATCCGGCTGCATGTTGGACTCGACCTGACGCTGCTTGTGGGAGTGGCCATTTTCTGTGCCAACGCTCGCTTCGCATTTGAAATCCAAAAGTTCTTTTCAACCTGTGCAGATCAGTGGGTTCCAGTTTTGGAGCGGTTCCTACGTAAAATGGACGACGACAAGGATGGCAGTAACTGCACTTTTGCTCGTAAACGTTTTTGCTTCTACCTGGTCAGTTAGTCAGACAGCTAGTCTCGCCATCACAGAGCCGAACCATTATCACCTTTGAAGAGCATTTTATGCGCAGTACAGGTAGGGAGGCCGTCCGCAATCATCTTCTGGCAGCTGCTGTTCCGATGTTCAGAACCTTCAGTGAGAAGTTCCCAGGGTTAGCTGACGATCTCAGGATCGCGCCTCGCAACCTGATTGCCATCGCCTTTGGGATGACGGCCTTCTGTGTGATCTCTGCTGCTTGCGCATCACTATGTGGCAACATCAAGAGACGATGGGTTCGCAACGTCGGAATTTGTGGCCCTCTGTCTTTGCTGGCAGGGGTAGTGGACACGGACTGCTTGGAGGAAACCTCATCGAAAATTTGCCAGCAGATTCCACTCCGCTTGGCCCTCCTAAGCCTCTGCATCCTAGTCGAATGGTATCCAGCTGGCAGATCAGGCGCGGAGCTTTGGTGTGCCATGATCTTCAACCGAGACATACGCTTCTGGCAGCTGCTTTGCTTTTGGACCCTCTTGTGTGTTCTACACCTTGGTTCCGGGCTGGCAGCAGTGAGGGGCGTCACCAACCTTCAGTTAGACTCCCAAGAGCGACTTCTGAGGGAATGGCTCAATCAGCGTAGTCCGCAGTACGGCACCCTGGACCCAGAGTGCCCTCAGAGCGCAAGTGCACACCGTCTCCAGCCTGGCAGGTGAGGCGGGCGTCTTGCTACCTGCAAGTCTCTTGAAAATATGCCAACCCGCTTCAAAAAAGCACGCAGCACCCGTCCAGTGGCCCGAGTCATGCTGCACTGTCACAAGCACCTGGCCGATCAATTTCTCACACTGGCTCCATGACAGGTGCCTGCAGCCTATGCCTGGGCCCCAGTCGTCAAGGCAGTCTTTGAGCGATTGATTCCAGCAGCGCTCCAGGTCAGTTGTTGGTTCCAGGAAGAATCAAAAAGCGCAGCCTGCATTTGGACTTGATTTGGACACGCCACCTCAAATGCTTAGCTATTGTTGCCGTTGGGTGAGGCTGCTTTCTTATCTGCGATAGGACGGGTGTAGGGCTGCGGCCCAATCTTTCCATATCTCTCTCCTCTTTTATTTTCCTGCTGCTGCTCACACGTCGTCAAGTGTCTGAGGCGTTACACCTGCGCAATATGCGCCAGAGAATGTGCCGCCGTGGCCACTCGAAATGAGAACATGGACCCAGCTCTTTCTCAGCGATGGTGTTGGTTGAAAATTGAGATTGCGTGATCCCTCTTGCGGCTTTGCCAGCAGCATTTATCCCAGCTTGCTGGGTTAGTGACTCCGTCCGGCTTACATCAGACATCGACTAGGCGCAGCATCTACTCCAAGAAGCATCTTCACTTGCTTTTCATCCTTCAACATGCCATAAAGATACTTGGGTTGTCGCTTTGCTAGCGTGAGCAGGGACTGGGTGTGTTACCTTAACACATGAAGCATGACCTGGCTACAGAATCCTTGTCATGCGTTTACTGCACTGGCATGGTTAGCAATAGCGTGCTTCCCGTGCGTACCGGGTATCATTCTTCTCTGCTGAAGTCGATGTGAAGGATTGCTTGGCGAGTTTTAGGCCGGAATGACCTTGTAGTAAATGATCGGAGGCAAAGTAGGAACATCCAACAACTGGACGTGCTCTACCATTTTTGTCTGCTTGTCAGCCACCATTTCTAACGCTTTGACTATGACCGCAGGTATTGATGTTAATGCCCTAGCTCTAGCAACATCTCGACCTGCTTGGGCTCAAATTATGCGGCCCTGCCCTAGCATCCGCCAACATCTGTCCGGCCTGACAAATGCAGGCAGCCTCACTTGCAACAATATCACCAAGCGATGCAATGATGAAATCGGTATCCCGAGGATGCTGGCGGTAGTGCAACAACAATGATGTGGGATGGGCTTCTGTTTGTGTTCCTGAGGAAGGAACTGTTTCGGACGCTGGCTGATTTCTAGTCTAGCATGTCAATGCACCCTGCGATCCCGCCCACAAGAAATTGTGGGATGTTTCGGCATGAGGGGGGCAGGGATCCTCTTTTGGTCAATGAATCCCCTGACAGCCCAGTTGCCCAACAGAAAGATCCTTCAGAAGCTTGACAGCCTGACAGGTTCTTGAAGCAGTTTAGATTGCCTTGACAGGAATCATCCTGTACCCGTGTACCAGCACCTCATGTATCCAAACATGGCGTTTCAAAGATGGGACCACTATGACTGGAAGAATTCCCATTCTATTGAATTATTGTATCGAAGCAGCTTTTGGTTCCTCATCAACTCAGCCTCTCAAATCCTCAATCCCCGAAGCCTCAGAATGACACAGTCCCAAGCTACAAACTTGAAGGCTCGATTGAAAGCAGGATAGGCAAGGGAGGAAAGGCGGTATTCCGCAAACCTGCACGAATGCCAAATAGACTCCAGCTGCTGGTTCCCAATCTTGGGAACCCGATCTTTGCTACTTCCTCGCTCCTGCACCCTCAATCCCAGTTCCCATCCCCAACTCAGACATGTCCTCCGGCAGGTCCATGTTCTGCTCCGGCTCCCATGACGTGGGGGCCTGGCACTTTGACGAATTTGGTTCGGGTTTGCGAAAATCTGTTGCATTTTGTCGGTGTCCGGCGTGCAGAACTGTTGAACTTGGTATTATCAGCAAAAAGATCGCAGAACGAGCCGGCTGTAGAAGTCTGCGTGATCACCAGTATGATGTCGTTAATATTACCCTTACATAACTGCCGCAGAATATCACTTCAAAGCCTTCACTGAGTATTCAGACTTCTACATCAGGAAAGTAGATAGGAAAATCCCACGGTATAACCAGATAACACCTTGTAGTCTATACTATTGCGCTCCATACTAGCATTGCGTAATGTAGTTGCCTAATATAGGACATCATCACATGGTAGTTTCCCTAAGTAGAGGGGCCACAGCATAGACCCCAGAATATTATTCCCCTTAGTATTGGGACCCCCCCCCCCCCAAAAGAAGGTACACCTAATTTCGGGAAGCCCTAAACCCTACAAACCCCTATGTAACACCAGTGTCCGTTTCATTCTTCATTTTCTTTTCCATCTGATTCTTTACTATTAGGGGGTCGTACCCCTAACTTTGGGAAACCCTAACTCCTAAACTCTAAACCCTATATAGCCCTATAGCCCCTATATCCCCCCTGTAAAGGTACCCCTAATTTTGGGAAACCCTCACCATGTGTTCTGCTCAGGCTCCTCCTCCTGGGATGCCTGCCGCTGGTGACGGCCATTAGGCCCGAAGCAGGGCTGTGGCGAGAGACAAAACCGGTGGAGGCCAGTCTTCCTTGCTTCTTTTTCATGAGGGAGTTTCCCCAAAAGTAGGGGTACCATTTTAGGGGTCCCAATAATAAGGACTATAGTATTTTGGGGTCTATATTGGGGTCCCCTTATTTTGGGAAACTGCCATGAACCACAGAGAGGAGGGGGTTTTGGATGTGTTTGGGAAGATTTGATTTGTTGGAGGTGTTAGGGCCTAAGGTTGGGGGGGAAGATTGTTAAGCTTGGGAGAAAGGCTTATGCGACGTGTATTCTGAGCCGTGTTCCTTTCTAGGCACTGAATCGAAGGGGATCTTGGCGTTCCTGCATACATGCCTACAAGCAGAGGCAAGATGAGGCAAGGAGGCAAGGCCTGTGTGGGTGTCAACTCCAAACAAGTGTGTTTGTTTAGCCTTCGCGTGGCAGGTAGGGCCTTTAGCCTGCTGCCACACCAACAAAGAACTTGGCTGTAAATCCTAATTGGAAAATTGAAGTACCGACAACGCCCAGTGCCATCAGTGCATTTCCCTCTGGAATTTATGGCAGTACTGGCGCGTAAACCCCCAAGAGCCAGACTTCAAAACCTCGGGTACGGAGGCAACTCCCAGCGCAGAGGAGAAGATCAAAGTGACATGTCCGATCGCCTCGGAGACTGTGCTCCGGCAACAGATTTTGCTTATGGCCTATCCTCCACATACTAACATGGAACCCAATGTAGCTCCGCTTCAAAGGACAGCATTCTGCATAGGATTTTTGTGGAAGGTTCCATGTAAGTTGCAAGGAGAGTCGGGGTGCAGCACCATCCCCAACAGCGCGAATTGGTTCACATGGGCGGGACTATATTGGGAGAAACACACACCTTAGATCCTTTGAACGTGTAGCGCAGTGCATTGACTGAGATAAAATGCCAGGAGTAGACGACCTTTGTTTTCTTAGTTTAGTTGTTTCAGCTGCGTCTGACTCCAGCTGGTTGAGCCTGGATGGCTTGCGCAATGCCACCTGGGAAAGTTGAGGTAATCCTGTAGCCTTTCACCTTTTTTATGACCCTTAAAATCCAGGGGTGATCCGGAGTGACTTCTTTTGCGCGCAACGAGTTACCTGTAAACGTGAGGTGCCGTCGCGTTTGGACTTCGAACTGGAGTTTCGTGGCGCTACGAACTTCAACCCGTGCCCCTGCATGAGCCGAGCACTTGAGCTCTGTTCACTTCGTTAGTAATGAAATTGTACCCTTTGATAACTTCTCTGCTGTTGCAGTTATTCAGGAGGCCTGGGTGGAATGTTGAGCTGCGCAGTTGGTTTGGGATCTCGTTTTGACGGTGTACAAAACAAAGTCATCCACATTTAGATTGGAATGTTTGAGTTTCTGATATTCCATGTAGTTGGCGCAAGCCGTTTCTGTTTGCAGGAGCCATTAATGAAGATTTGGAAAAGGCTTTGTTACGGATCTTGCAGGTGTGCTGCACATGGAATGCCATTCCCATAAATTTTGGCTCAGGCAGCGATCTGCTCGCGCTTAAGCGTGTGCCCGGCAGGTATACCAACTACACATTGCATGCAGCAGAGGACTGCCGCACCCCACTGGAACAGGCCTGGCTTCTTAGGATAGAGGAGTCTGTGGCCCGGACATAAGTTGGACATTCGAGCGGCGCTTGGAATTTTGAGCAGTGATACCAAGATCCCTGAGAAGGAGTGAGATTGTTTCTACCTACATCTGGTTGGAGTGAAACCGACGTGGAAGATTTCATGTTTTGCTTCTGCGAGAGTCACGCTGGCCATGTGGCAGCTTCACTTGCGAGGGTACCCAGCATACCCTCAACCTCCTCTTTGCCCGTGATCGCCAACTTGAAACAGCTCTGCGAAAACAAGTTGATCACGCATTGGCCCAAGCCACTGCTTTCTGCCCTGGAGGTCGCCGTGACCGTTTTCCCCATCTTGAATTCCACCGAGCCCCTGCAGTCCAAAGTGGCAGTCGTTCTGGGGGATGAGCTGCTGTCACTTGGATGCAGCAGCTTCCAGAAGCTGCGAGTCTGTATGTAAGGAGAATCTCTTCTTTGGAATTACTTGTTAAAATCCAGGAATTTTGGTTATACAGCCTGCTTCTTATAAAGCAACTGTAGGACAGAGGCCTTTAAATGTGTCCAGCACTGTAGACATTCGGCAGCTCGCAGTGCTGAGAGACTTTGCTCAAACTGCAGCACAACTGCACAAATTGGAAAGCATGCCGGTGTTGATATCTTCCAGAACATATGTCAGCATACCTGGACCTAAACCATACTACTGTAAAAGCAGGAGATTGGTTGCCTTTTCCGTTTTGGCGCAAACAAGGTTACAACCAGACCTGAAGATGCCATTGTACATCTGTGGCGCTCCACGCAGTGCAAACCCTGAAGACACAGTACCAGATCACTGCTTCTGCCA